AAGGTTTGGGAAGGTTTGGGAAGGTTTGGGAAGGTTTGGGAAGGTTTGGGAAGGTTTGGGAAGGTTTGGGAAGATTTGGGGAGGGAAGGGAAGGGAAGGGAAGGGAAGGGAAGGGAAGGGAAGAAATGCTTCAGCACTGGGGAAGCACCCCAACACCCTGAGCATGGCTCTCTGTGGGGTGAGCTGTCCTGCCCAGACAGGTCAGGAGCTCATCCTGTCCAGACAATTCCCAGGAGGGACAGATAATGTGGAGAAGGTGAAGTGACCACAGAGGCACTTGAATCCAGAGGTGCTCTGGGAGTGTTGTGGGCACCAAGAGCCAAGCAAAGCAGAGCAGAGCTGGGGACACCCCAGCCCCTCACGCTGCTGACAATTCCCATCCCAAAGTGGTCTCAAGGGTTGATCTCAGCTCCTGCTCTGCTGCAAGGTCTCCTTCCCTCCCTGAGAGTGCCAGAATCTCCCCAGCAGTACCTTCCAGCATGGAGACCCAGGTGCTGCCGTTGCAGAGGTACAGCCCTCGCTGGGACGCGTTAAACCAGAACCGCGCCTTCTCCTGCTTGGAGCAGCGTGGCCGGGCCCCCAGGGTCACTTTCATGTCGGTCTCTGGGCAGAGAGAGGAGTGGGGCAGGAGCCTCTTAGTGCACACAGTGGAGGAGAAGACAGGCAGGAGGGGCAAATGTCCTGGTCTCATCCTGATGGAATCCCAGCACAAATCTGGGAAGCCATAGGCAGGGGCAACCCCGTGTGGGGCCACTGACGTGAGCCCAGCTCTACCAAGGGACTCAGGCAAGGCCACCCCATCTTTTCAGGGAGATTTTGGACAGGGATCCCAACATGCACACAGAGAGAAACAGAGGGTGTTGGGAACACCCTCTTCCCCTCTGCTCCTGCTTCATTCCCAGCCCCAGGCCCTTCCTCACAGAGGTGGAGGTGCCCAGCAGAGCCTGTGCCGTGGGGCCACTGACCGTAGGGGTATTTGAGCACCTCGTTGCTCACTGGCTTCACGGGGACATCCTGGAGGACACTGGGGACAGACAGCGCTGCTACTTTGAAGTTCATGGCGTGGCATATCCGGGGGGTGGCATCAGCTCCTGGCAGCAGGACAAGCTGCCTCAGCAAGCCCTGGGAAAGCGGGAGCAGAGGGATGGAGACCAAGTCCCACAAGATCGCAGAATGGGAACTGCTGTAATTCGTGCCTTGGATTCCCTGCCTGACTTCTGCTTGTTGCCCTCCCTCCTGGGATGCAGAAAGTGTCCATGGGATTCAGGCACATTTATCAGATCCCAGATGCCCAGCTGGGGCATTCTAACAGCTGATGTAAGGGGAGCATTGGCACGAGGCTTGGAGAAGCCTCCACACGGGAAGGAGCCAGAGCCACCTCTGCTTCCTGGGCCACGGCCAAGCCCTACCCGTGTAGGGGACTGAGAGAGGGCTACAGGTCATCCCACAGCCAGCCACGAGCACCCCTGAGCGCCCCTGGGCGAGCCCACACCGCGGGCACCCACCGTGAACACGCCTTTCCTTCTCCGCCTGTTGCCCAGGTAGAAACTGGCTCTCCTCACCGACAGCGAGGCTGGGAATGGTGTCTCCACCACCCTGGGGATGGGCAGAGAAGAGGCAGGGGACAATTTCACAGCATCTACCGGTGGCCGGAGGAGACGCTGCTGGAGGAGCACCAGCCTGGCCACCCTGGCGAGCCCCCCAGCGCCGCCCCCAACCTACACATCTCTGGGGATGCTGCAGTCCACCGTCAAGGAGAAGGACTGGCCGGAGACAGCCAGGACGAGCGTGTGCCAGCGGTTGTCGGAGAGGGACACGTTGGGGAAGGTGACGCGGGTCTGCCAGCCGCCGGAGCGCTCCTGGCTCCAGAAGAGGAAGTGGAGCTTGTCGGGGGCGTAGCGCAGCCCCAGCAGGACGCCGGGGCTCTCCTCCACCATCAGCGTGAAGATGTACTCGTTGCTCTGCGGACAGC